CGCGCTGACCGTGAGCCCCGCCGACAGCGAGCCCGGAGCTGAGCCTGGTGCCCCGCGGGAGTCCGAGCCCTCGCAGCTCAACGGGGCCGCCGAGCCCGGTGCGGCGCCCCCGCAGCTGCCCGAGGCTCTGCTGCTCCAGCGGCGCCGCGTGACGGTGCGCAAGGCCGATGCCGGCGGGCTGGGTATCAGCATCAAAGGTGGGCGCGGTGGCGCTGAGGGCTCGGGGTCGTGGTTAACTGTGGGGATGCTGGAGGCACACGAAGCACCTGGACTTGGAGGCCTTCTGTCCGGGGTCATGGGGGTTCTGAAGTGACAGAGCCGAGGGCATATGGAGCGCCAAGGTCGGAGATTAGCGTCCCTGACAGCGCAGGAGGGCATCAAGGACTGGAGATCGTGGGTGTCAGAGAGGGCTAGGGGCGCTCCAAGGACATATGAATGAGAAGTTCTGTGTGGAGGCATAGGGGCGTGAGGGGACAAGCTGGACACAGGCACCAAGGACAGCGAGACCCCCTAGACAGCGGAGGGTGGAGAAAGACGTTGAGGCCTGGGAAACTACTGGAGTGTGGAAGGAGGCGTCCCTGAGACAACACCAAGGCAGGGAGATTTGGGTGGAGGTACAGGTTTGAGTCACAGACAGGGAATCAGGCTGGACCTAGAAATGTGAGGACCCAGGAAGGCTGTGTACCTTGGCAGGGAGCCCTGACAGCTGGGTTTGCCTCTCCTGACCTGACCCTCCCCAGCTTGTGCAGGATTGAGACAGCACACCCAGGGTGGTTGCTCTTCTGAGCACCAGCCCTCATACTTCTTTGGGGTTGAGGACCTTTTTCAGGGCTCAGCTAGGTTCTGATTCCAGAATTTGCTGTGTGAACAAGTCGCTTCATATCTCGGGGCCTCACTTTTTCCAGTTGTACAATGAAGAAAATGATGAAGTTGTTCACTGTGCCTACATATAGTAAGTGCTTGGTTAATTATTGTTGGATGAGAGGAAAATATGGAAGCCAGGAGACACTCTCAAAGCAACTAACCTGCACCCCTCTAGTTACTGTGCCTACCATTCCTACCTGCCTGCTTCTCAGGATCTAGTTCCCATATCACCCATTCAGGGTGAATGTACACTCTCTCCTCTGTTCTCTGATGCCTGAGACCTGACTTGGTGTGAACGTGTGGAGAGAGAAGAATGCCACTACCGTGTGCTGGGTGCAGTGCCGAGGACTCAAGGCTCAGAATCTGCTTCATCCTGGCAATAGTGATGAAAGGCAGGGTGTATGAGCCCCATTTTGCAGATACAGAAAGTAAGACAAAGAAAGAAAAACAATTTGTCCAGAATCACCCAATCAGTGAGTGGCAGAATGGAGATTTTTAATCTCAAATATCAGACTAACTATTGCCCCCCTTAAAGAGTGCCCAGGGGTGTTGCTTTGTCCCTGTGGAAGGGAAAGTTCTCAGGCAGCTAACTGAGGGTGTCTAAAAGAAGGGAGTGGGGTAGCTAGGAGGCAGGTACCAGTTTTGAGTTAGACTCCAGCATGGGAAGGCATTACTAGGCAACTTCAATCTGTTATTCTGTGTGTCAGAGCAGGAACTTAAGAGTTCATATAGAATTCTGTTTCTCAGATGGACAAACCAGGAGTTAGGGAGAAAGAGGAACTTTCCAAGGTCACACACATATTCCTCAGTTCCAGGCTCCTAGGTGGGTGTGATGGTGCTTTTTGGAGGCTTGAGTAAGTTACCAGCTCCATCCAATTCCTGTGGATGGAGACTAAGCTCCTGTTGCCATGGTGACCATCCTTCTAGAGTCCAGTTCAGCTCCAGGCAATTAGGAATGATCATGGCTTCAAACTGGACTAAAATCCCTAGTTTCAGGTGGGAGAAGGCAGAAATAAATAGAAACAACTTCTCTTAGGCTTCACTCTCTCTGCAGATCAATGAATAAACTCTTGAGTCTGTGTGGAGGTCAGAGAAGTATTTCATTCCTAGCTCTGTCAATAACCTGTGTGATCTTGGAATAGAAATCTCCTTTGTTTGGGGTACTAGTTCCTCATCTTCAGAACTGGGGATGGACCAGGAATGTGATATCTGAGGACTCAGCCTCCAGTCTACTGTAGGATTGAGTTCTAGTGGCAGGAAACCTGGGTTCAAATCCTTACTCTGCTATTTACTAGCTTGGTGAATAGGAATTTTTTTTTCTAGTACGAAATTGAGGGTGCCTTTGTGACAGGGCTGGTGTGAGGATGCCATGAGATGATATTTAAATCATTCAGCACAGATACTATGAACTAATGTGAGCTGTTTCTGATGATTTTAAAAGGACATTTCAGAATTTAGCAATAAAGCGATAGAGTAAAATATATTGACTCCTTTGGCATCAGAGATGCAATTCAGATGGACTTTTTAAATGTCTGCATTTTAAGAAATTGATTTTCACCTTGGTCTCATCAAAATGTTTTTTGATTGCTAACAAGTTCCTGTGGGTCTATGGGAATAACAAATTTTAAAAAAATGTATTACAGTTCAAATCAGCATGTTGGTTCATTTCAGCTCCTTCACTGCAAACCTGTGATGACCAGGGTAGAAAGGTACCTGGTGCACTGGACCTCAGACTTCACATTATCCTTATTTTTCTTGATCTTGACAGAGTTGGCATCCTTTCATCTGGCCATGAGCAGAAAATCTTTGATTTCCTCAATTTTGTGAGGCATGGCGGGGAGGGAAGGGGAGGCGGGCTATGGGCCCGTGCCAGTATCACCAAAGATACTCCAGGAATAACAAATTCCTTCCTTGATTTCTGATTTAGGGAATTCAGTGTGTTATTCTATTGTGGAAAAATGGCTTAAGATGCAAAATATTTATTAAAAATCGATTGAAGTACCTTATAAGTTACTTAAGCATTGGTGAATACCCAAAGCAAATAACCAAATGATCCAGTGACCAAGATATGAGCATTATGGATTTAGAACATGAATTGTTATTTAATATTATTGGTGTCCCAAACTTCCAAGACCTTATTCTGAGATAATCTTTATTCTCTCACTTCCTCTTTCCAGCTTTGGACTGGACACTAAGTAGGGGCTTCATGAAATGCTTTTGCCTTGATGTGGCTCCACAGGCAGGAGAGTATGCCTCAGTTTCCTTCTCCTTCTATGCCTGTGCAGGTGGTCGGGAGAACAAGATGCCTATTCTCATTTCCAAGATCTTCAAAGGCCTGGCAGCCGACCAGACAGAGGCTCTGTTTGTGGGGGATGCCATCTTATCTGTGAATGGAGAAGACCTGTCCTCTGCTACCCATGATGAGGCTGTTCAGGCCCTCAAGAAGACAGGCAAGGAGGTGGTGCTAGAGGGTAAGTACTGGGGACCTTAGAGCCCAGGGGTGTTTGATGTCTTGCCTTATCACTCCAGACTTCAGTGGACTCTGAGGTGTGGTCAAGATTGAAGGCAGAAACACAACTTGAAGACATGCCTGGAGACTACACAGGATGATGGGAAAGCCAGCACAGAACCCACATGGTCCTGGTTTTGCCTTTCCTCTCTCCCACTTATTAGCTAAATGCCCTTTGATAAGTCACTCTGTTTCCTCAAGCCTTAGTTTCCTCCTCTGTAAAATGGGAACATAAACTTGCCTTGCTGTGCTGTTATGAATAAGATACACAACATAAAGATAACATGGTAGAATTTGCTACCCAGAGAATGACTTAAAGGAGAGGGACAAGGATCAGGGAAGGGGCACCCTAGATTCTTTCCTGAGGGGTCTGGAGGCCCTCACTCCATGCTTTTCTGACATACATGGATTCCTAGATCTGGAGACCTAGCCTTCCGTGAGAGAGGACTTGATCTTGTAGAGCAGAACTTCAAACCCTTTCAGGGAAAAGCAGCGAGGAGTTTTGGGAGGAATCTTGGTAAATGAGTTTCTTTACTATCCCCTCAGAGTGTGATCCTTGTCTCAGAATGAAGCTCTCTCCTCTGGGCCTTAGTTTCCCCATCATTTTTGATAGGCCTCCTGCTGTGATTGTCCCATATTCTCCTTTTGCTCTCAGGAGGTTTCTGCTTTGCTCAGCCCTTTCCACACTCCACCCTGTCAGCTTTAGAGGCCCGTGGGGGCCTGAGGAATGTGTCTGGCTCATGGCCCAGAACAGGCACAGGGAGGTGGCGGGGGCTGGTGGAGAATGCTGTGGACAGCGAAGCTGCTGAGCTGAGTTCTAAGCACAGATCTGATCAATTGCCTTGGTTTCCCAGAAAAAAGGGTCTTTGGGAGGCCACAGATACAACCTGTGGGTAACCTTGGAGGCCAGGCTGAACAAGATCCCATGCCCTTCTGTCCGTCCACCCTGCAGCAGCTGGACCTGTACTCAAACCCCAGATCTCAGTTTCCACTCAGTTTTTAATTTAATTTTATTTTTTTGAAAATTTGAGTGAGAGTTTACAAATCATACTGGTTTTTCATTCATTCACTTACAGACATTTTGTTTTGTACCATTAATTACATTGACTAATCATTTAGTTCAGATCCATTGTTCATACGGTTGCTATGAGTCATAGTTGACTCGATGACATCTAATAACAACAAACCATTCTTCATTGTGTATTGCCTCTCCCTTCACAGTTTTATTTTATTTTCACATTCTAAGTATATGGTTCTGACTTGGTGGTACATAACAACAAATATATATATATATATGTGTGTGTGTGTGTGTGTGTATATCACAAAAACTTTTTTTGCTTAAAAAAAAGATTGAATCTAAAGAGTTGAATTCTAAAAGGTTAAGTATATCAGTCATATTTTAAAAACAAAGTTAATAAGAAAATTGTATATAAAATAAAACCCACACACATTGCTATTGCATTGATTCTGACTCATAGGACAGAATAGAAGTGCCTCGAAGCATTTTCTAGGTTGTAAATCTTTTCAGGGGCAGATAGCCACATTTTTCTCCCATAGAGCAGCTGATAGGTTTAAACCACCAACCACCCTTTTGGTTAGCAGCCAAATATTTAACCAAAGTGCCACCAGAGCTCCTGATATACAGCTAAGAGGTTCTTTTCTCTCCTGGAGGCTCATTACTTTGATATTTATAGCCAGATATGCAGTTTGAAACAGCTAAAATTCATAGAAATGTCATATTTTCATTGATTAAAAGAGCTCTTTCCATTTTTTGCTGTTTGAAAGTTTGTCTTGCAAGCAGTAAGATTTCTGTTCAGACACAAATCTCATTCACAGTGAGGTCTTCCCTTAACCCTAACTCTGAGAATGTTCTGGATGGTTTCTCAAATGTTATGTCATCCTGTGAAGGTAACATTTCTGAGTATGAGACCCTTGAAATAGCTCTTGGCCATCGGAATTAATAGGCAAGCTTTTCCGGTACTGTACACATTCCTTCTCTCCCTCACTAAAGCCAGGAAACATTTACAAACACTTGCTATGTGTCGGGGTGCAGAACTTTGGGGTAAGGAGCCACAGCCAACTTATGTCACAATAGAAGATCCTGGGGGAAGAAGAGTAGGGGAAATATGGATAAAAGCTCAAAAAACATACAAAATCCCAGGCTTACCAATCTGATAGAAGCTGGTGGAACTCTTAGGAGATCTTAGAATCTGGAACAAAACTTGGCCCAGTGGCTCAACTTTCAGCCAAACAGTAGACAGATTTATAAAGTAACCAGTAACAGCAGGAAGGCAGTCTTCCCTTGGAGTAATAACTATATAAGGCCGAAAGAGGAGTGCTTACCCCAGAATAAAGCCTAGAAGGCTGGAGGGGATAGGATAGAAGGAAATGAGAATCACAGAGAGGAAGTGGGAAGAGTGGGGTTTACCTTGTGTGCTTTGCAATGAATGTTGTAAAACTATATATGAATATTTGAATGAAAAACCAATCTGCATTGTAAACTTACATGCAAACAAGAGTTAAAAAATAAAGTGAAGCAGACCTAGCTCCTCTCCTGAAGAAGCTCACAGTCTGATGGTGGGCACAACATACAAACATAGTCTTCATTGTTTAAGCAAACAAACAAAATTAGAAAACAGTTGTTGAAATTTTATCTTTTCTATCATGAATCTGACTTTGGGTAAGATCTTTGCCTTCTTTGGATCTCAGTTTCTCTTTTGATTAGATTTAGAGCAGAGATGACCTTAATTTTGGATGTTGGCTCCACTGGTTGCTACAGGGAGTTCCAAATGTGGAAGAATCAGGAAGCCTTTTCTGGGCTCAGCAGAAGGGTGCTGGAATTGTTTAGTAATGGGTTGTGTGGGTTCTTTTGTTTTTTGGTTTTGGTTTTTTTGTTTTGTTTTTAAGTAATGTTTATCACAGATGTAGAAGGAAAGAGAAGTTACAGGGGTGTCATTGCAGGTCCCTGAGTGTTCGTTCAGCTCTTAGGTTGGTTCTCTGAGGCTTTTCATAGGGTCAGACCTTTCTTTGCCCCAGGTTTTCAAAAGGAGTCTGGCCTGTGGGATTTAGTACGTAGATAGCACTCAATCAACCTTAGCAAGCCCTCTGCTTTCCCTTCCCATTTATAGAGAATTAATAGTATTTCATTCTTAAATGTTTGGCAGCATTCTCCAAATGCTCCTTTGTAGCAAGGCTATAAAGTTTATAAAGTTTCAGTATTAATCGGGCTATTTAGATTATCTACTTCTTGCATAAACCTTGGTAGTTGGTGTCTTACAAGGAATTTGTCCAATTAAGTAGTCAAATTTTTTGACATAAAGTTCTTCATAATCTTATTAGCAATCATTTTGGATGAGATCCCTTGTCTATTTTCTTTTCGTTTCCCTTTTCCTTTATTCTGCTCTACTTGATAGTTTCAAGGGGGCTCCTAACCTCGCAGAGGAGACAGCTGAGTAATCCCAATAAATTACTGGTAACCACAGTTGCTGAGATAAGAGTCAGTCTGTGGATCGGAGGAGACAGTGGTCACTTCTGTCTGGGTAGTCAGGAAAGACTTCCTGGAGGAGGTGATGTTGGTGTATATTTCTGAACAATAATCTGGGGCTCCTGGGAGTCTCTGAGGGCCTGGGTTCCACCCACTTGTGGCTGAATCACTAGTCACATTATACAGAGTCTACCCTCCTCTATCCCACTCCTGAGGCTACCTCCCACGGGCCATGGAAAGGTGGCCTGTCCTTTGGATATGGATTTTAGGGTAGAAGAAGGGCATTCTACGCAGAGGGGAGCAATGACCCGACTTACTTGAGAAATTGCCTGGGGAAAAATTGAGAACCTAGGGCAAGAGGTGAACGTTGGCATGAGGTGGACCTAGGGCATGAGGTGAATCTAGGACGTGAGGTGAGCATTAAGCATGAGGTGAATCTAGGGCATGAGGTGAACGTTGGCATGAGGTAGACCTAGGGCAAGCGTGAGGTGAATCTAGGGTATGAAGTGAGCATTGGGCATGAGATGAACTTTGGTCATAGGTGAACGTTGGGCATGAGGTGGACCTAAGGCATGATGTTAACCTAGGGTGTGAGGTGAATCTAGGGCGTGAGGTGAACCTAGGGCGTGGAAACCTAGGTTATGAGGAAAGAACTGGAGTTAAAAGATGCTGCCCAGATTGACAGATCCTATAGGACCTTGACTGTCAGGCAAAAGGAAGCCATTAAAAAAGTTTCAACAGGGGTGGGATATGGTCATATTTGGGCTTTAACAGCATCAGTTTGGTCTGAAGAGAAGCAAAAGTTAATGGAGCAGTGGCAGGGAGGGAACCGAGGCCAGGAACTGGAGGGCAATGGTTGGTGGTCTAAGTGGGTATGGACAAAGGATGGCCTTGTGACAGTGGCCTCTTATTAGATTTCCCCTGGTTTTTTTCTTAGCTGAGGTCACAGTTCTCATCTGATTTGCTCTTCTGATCCTGTAGGCTTGTGAAAGCTATATCTTCCCAGGTCAATGCAGGAGGTGAGATAGACAACTCTGGCCACAGATCTCTGCACTTCTGGGCAGATCTGAGGGGGCTGGAGGATGGGACAGAGAAGGAAGCTGGGATGTTGGATTGTGGCTGGTCTTTTGGGACTCTGGGGAGTTTGTGGAAAATGTCAGGGCCTGGCAGTAGCTCCAACCTAGAGCCAGGGATCCTGGGAATCTCTGTGGGCCCGAGTTCCACCCTTCTGGGGCTGAATCACTAGTCACATTGTTCAGAGTCTCCTCTCCCCCATCCCACTCCTGAGGCCACCTCCCAGGGGCCATGGAAGGGTGGCCTGTCCTTTGGATATGGACTTGGCAGGGCAGTTAGGCATCTTTCCAGAACCTGGGGCTCAGTGGGTGTACAGGCCCCTTGAGAATATCCTGAAGAACAGATGTCACTAGAAAATTCTGGGTGCCAGCCAGAGGCCCACTTCTCTAGCCCAAGTCAAAGAC